CTTGCATAATACTTTGAAACGACTATTATGTTCTGAAAAGCATCAGGAAACAAATCACTTTCAGCTAATCAGTTCATCAGGATTGAACCCGAATTCGTCCAGAGATCACTCACGTGTTCGATAATTCTCCGTCTTAGATCTTTGGCAGCTTTGTCACCCAATGCACCACCAAGAAAGTTCTTCTCGTTCTCAAACTCGTTCTTGAAGGTATTCCATAGAGATGTCCATTGAATAACCTCCATTGTGATTAGCTGTTTTAACAACAATCTACAATAGAAATGTTGGAATAAAAACCATCAAACAAGAGGAATGTATCAAATAATGGAATCTCATGAATGTTTCTTTCCCCAAGAACTTATGAACATAGAGCTTCTAAATGGAAGAAGCAAAAAAACATTTCTGACTCCATGAGAAACTTGCCTAAAATTTGGAATCTCATAAAGATTCTTATCTTCCAAGGTGGAATTGAGGAGACTAGACTGCATTGGACCATGTGGTGATAAAACTAGATACCAACAGATTTTTCTTAGGATCTGCAAGTAAACGAAGTAGTAAACTATTAGAGAAGTTCAACATCAAAAAAAGAACAAAAACAAAGAAACTTTACCGGTATACATTCTGCTGGATTATCTTTGACGGAAGGAATCTCATATTTGGCCTTATAGCTACGGCAGATCTCAAAATATTCATGATGATGAGAGTGGTACCTACAGAAATTATAAAAACCAGTACAAAATGATAAGTTCCATTTCAAAAGAAGATTCATGAGGAATCAAGAAACCCAAGGCTAGTACTACGAAGTAGATTCGAGTGGATTCCTAATAAGATCCAAATGGTTGCTGTGAGATCCCACATCAGTTGGAGAGGGGAATGAAACATTCTTTTTATAAGGGTGTGGAAACCTCTCCTTAGCAGAGGGAAGTCCAAGAGGGAAAGCCAAAAAGAACAATAAATAATAAAAAAAAGTAAAAGACTGTTCTCCGAAAGGAGTGGATTGTGAGATCCCACATCGATTGGAGAAAAGAACGAGTGCCAGCAAGAACTCTAGGCCCCGAAAGAGGGTGGATTGTGAGATCCCATGTTGATTGGAGAAAGGAATGAGTGCAAGGGAGGGAATTGGACCCTGAAAAAGAGTGGATTGTGAGATCTCACGTCGGCCGAAGAGGGAAATGAAGCATTTACAAGAGTGTGGAAACCTCTACCCAGCAGACACGTTTTAAAAATCTTGAGGGAAAGTCCAAAGAGGACAATATTTGCTAGCTAGGACTCTGGGTCCCGAAGGAGTGAATTGTGAGATCCCACGTTGATTGGAGAAGGGAATGAAGCATTTTTTATAAGGTTGTAGAAACTTCTCCCTAGTAGATACGTTTTAAGAACTTTGAAGAAAAGTCCAAAGAAGGAAGACAATATCTGTTAGCGGTGTTAGCAGGTGGGCTTAGAAGAATCAATCAAATGGGAAACAAAAGGAATGCAACATCAGAATCAAACAATAAAAGTACTCAAAGTTCGAAAATGAACTAAAATGTACCTGCACGGTTTACCTTATCATTAGTTCATAGTAAATTCTCTTCAGTTCCATCAGCGATGGTATATCAGCAGGGGCATCCTCAACCACACTCTCACCTTCTTTGGGCTTTTTCTTCTCTTTTGAATCATCCACATCAAAAACTCTGGGACTAATTTTCCTTGAAATAATTTGAGCACGAACATAATCCTGGCGGTCTAAGCACAATCGAACCTGCAAAATTACATCAACACACCACCAATATATGACCCTTTACTTCAAATTCAGCATATAAGATACAATTCTTTAAAATGGCTGTAATGAAAAATAACAGATGTGCTTACTTGTTCAAGAATGAATGCAATTTTCTCGGTTTTTGCCATGGCACCAAAAGTCTCGACCTGGAAAAGGGAAAGAAAACGTACAAATATCAGACAATCTACGAAGTCAAGAGGTTCATATTTCTCATATAACATAACACAAACATCTAGAAATTTCCTCTAAATATAATAGCTGACCGCAATTTCTTGCATCAAATCTGCAGCTTCCGCTATGAGACCCTGCTCTTCTTTAATCTTTGCTAGTTTTTTTATCAACCGAGCTCTCTCAATTTCCACATATATCTGTAGATAGCAAAGTCGATTCGTAGAATTAAAATAACAACTGATCAAATGAGATCACTTATTTCCATTAATTACCTTTCCTGCAGAAACATTATTGAGTGTCTTGATAAGCTCTATACGAGTTTCAAGATCTGGTGTTTCATCAACATGTTGCATTCCTTGCTGGACAATTGCAGTTACAACCTGAGGAACAACCAGATTTTCCATATTTTACATCAATTTCCAATATCATGTAAGTTAAGACTGGAATGATCCACCAGGTTTGGGCCGCAAATACAACTCCAGCAACACAGAGATCAAATTTTTCAATGAGGAAATTCAATGAAATTTCCAAACATGGCACAAATTAAAACACCAAACTCATTTACAGTGGAAATAACACAAGATCTAAATTCAATAAACTAATTCCGAGAATGCAAAAACTGAAACAATCGAAAAACCTGCTTAAGCTGACCGCGGCGTTTCACGAGGAGCACAATTTGTTCGTTGAGCATACTCCATGCCCGCGCTTCAAAACAGAGCTTTAGAATGTCGATTGCAGCCTTCTTAGCACCGGCGACGTCTTCAGCGACTCGCATCTGCTTCTCAACATGTAGGAGCTCCTCAATAGCATCCTCCAAACTCCGCTTAACTTCCTGAAGTTCCGAAAGTGAGAAGGAGAAGAAAAACCAATACTTAAACTTCACAAACAAAGCAGGAGCAAATTCGAGTACAGAAATGTGAGATCAGAACAACATTGTAAAACAGCCACAACAAAGAATACCATTTTAATCTGATTCAGCCTAATCCAGAGCTCGATAAATGAATTCTGGCGATAGAGAAGTTGAAGATGGCGAAGTACTCGGAGCTTGATGAAGCCATATATCGTAAAGAGAGTATCGAAGCTGTCCCCTCCTGCACGAAAGGTCTTGCATGAAAGTTTTGCAATTCGGTCCTTCAGTAATCATCCAATTACCAATCTCCACGTGTTTTGTCCCTTTTTCCCTCCAAAATTTTATAAAAATCTCATTTTTGATCGATAATATATAAATAAATATATTATAGTCCACGAATTTTGTTTTTTTTTTCTCTCAAAATTAAATTTTTATGAAAGTCTAATATATTGATTGATAATATATACTGACTTATGTTTATTTAACCCTTTTTTTAGTGTTTTAATAAATTTTATTGCAAAATATTATTTTAAAAAGTAAGTTAAAAAATGAGGCAAAATTAAAATCTTTTAAATGTTATCGACTTAGTAAATGATATATTAACTTTTTTTTATATTATTATAATGAGAAGGAAAATAGTATGATTTTATTTTTCACCTAATGCGCGGAATCTAAATAGAAAAATAAATAAATAAATAAATAAAATCCGGTGATATCTGGATTGTTCGTTTTGGTTTTCAAGGGTTTATAGCCGTTATCTGCGGAAACCCTAATTTATTCTATAAAACCACACTTTCCCGCACCTCATTTGCCGTACTGATTTATGCTTTCTCTTCTGCGTTTGTGGCGGCTTCGATTCTACAATCTTCATGGAATTTGCTCGCGATTTCTTCCTTTATATTGACTCAGTTCTTCTCTTTATTATGCTCTTTTGATTTTGAAACTTTTCCTCTCCCGAAATTTCACTATCCTTGATTGTTCTGGATTTATCCGATTTATGCTGTAGATTAGCTGCTGATAATTCGGTAATGGGTCTGTGAGGGTGAATTTATAAGGCTTGTTTCTCAAAACATTCGCAGTGGCCGCCTGAGAGCTTTCGCCTTCGCCGGGCTTGAGAGCTTCTGCTGTCTTTATCCTTCCTTGGATGTCTGAGACTCTTTCACTCTCATGAATCTTAGATTTTGTTTTTCACATTGTTAATTGGGGGTTTCACGGCTATTCCATCAGCTATATTAATGTCTATCGTTTTTACTTTGTCTGCTTTGTCTTTCATGCTTTGCTGATCATTGTTGGATGTTAGATCAATTCTTTCACTAATTTTACTTAATTTCCTTATACTTGGTTTGTTTTGTTATTTACCCTTTAAAGATCTCTTCACAATGATGATATCCTTAAGGCTTGTTTCTCAAACATTCGCAGTGGCCGCCTGAGAGCTTTCGCCTTCGCCAGGCTTGAGAGCTAATGCTGCCTTATCCTTCCTTGGATGTCTGAGCTGAACTTATGAATCAATCCCATATAATTGTTTTTTTTACTTTGTGTAAGGATGCTTTATTTTTTATGTTTGTGTCATTCACCTCTTGAAATTGTCATAACAATGATTGTCTTCACCTTGACTTTCTTGTTTTTCTATTACTTGGACTTCAATTCGTAGCTTTGTTTGTATGAATTTTATTTTCCATCATGTTTAATTGTTAGTATGATTTGTCTTTTTGTAAAATATAATGTGTTGATGATGACAATTCCAAAGGCTTGTTTCTCAGAACATTCGCAGTGGCCGCCTAAGAGCTTTCGCCTTCGCCGGGCTTGAGAGCTAATGCTGCTATATTCCTTCCTTGGATGTCTGAAACAATTTCTTATTCAAACCATCTTATTTGTAGACATAATCTCATCATGAATCATATTATTCGATTTCCTCGTTTTATGATCTTGGTTTCTTGGGTTTTTGCCTTGGATCTCTAACGTCCAGAAATCATATATTAACCTTTCTGAGTTGAATTTATTTATTTGCATTGTTTGATTCTGTTTGTTGTCTTCTGAATTAGGCTTTTACAGCAAGAAGCTGCATCTTCCTTGAATCTCAAATTCTTTGATTTGGAATGGCATTCATGCCAAAATGAATCTGCAGATGGTATACAAATAATGTCTGCCCCCACCGTGGATCCGATCAAATTCATGAACTGCAAAGATTAGTGGTGGCTTCATAACTGTGGACCCTTCAGAGATCAGAATTAGATTAGATATTTCCACTGTGTTGTTCGAATGAAAATAATATGTACAATTAGGAATGAATATAATTACTAGTCAGAAAACATTGGAAGCATATCTGATCAAATTTTTATCTGGATTTTCATTGTAATGGTTCAACTAAAATCGAGTTCTATGCTTCATTTGTGATGGATTAGAAGCATGTCAGTGACAGTATGATAATCAGCAACAAGCTTGATTTGGTGTAACTAATCTCAGTTGTGGATTGGAGGCCTCTTTAAAGCAGGAGTGTAATCCATTACCACCAACTGATCACTGCCTTCCATCTTCTTGTCCTTGTTTGTATGCACTAATAGATCTTCAGGCCTTTCATCTCCTTCCTCCATAAATACAACTCATGCTTCTCCCTACAAAACGATAACATCACACCCCCACTTTTTACTTATTTAAGGTTCACTTGAAAAGGTGCCTAATAACTAATATTAGACTTTTCTAGTGTCTAAGAACTAATATTTGATTGATTTTTGTTCCTATAAAAACAGGGTTTGAAGTATTTAAGAAATCATTCCCTTACCTGTAACAGTGGTTGAGGCAAAACAAAGCAGAAACAGAGCCACAAACACCAGAAATCTGCAATTCACAGCCATCCCAAACTCTCTTGTTTTATAAGGTAACCTTATATTGTTGATGCCTCTTTTTCTTCCACAATGAGTGCAAATTGCACATGATTTGAGTGCCTTTTATATGGACGCATTTGGACAATTCCATGGAAGCTCGAAGGTTTATAGACATGTGGGGCAATGGACTGTGATGTTAAACTGTGCAAGTGTACCACTTAAAAGAGATGGTGTGTTATGTCCTTGTCAATTCTCTCTTTCCCGTCTTGGGATGAAAAAGATGGCCTCCTGCTTTCACACAAGGCCCTGCGATTACAGACTTTAGAGGTTATCCCCTTTTTCCTCTCAATTATCTTAGTTTCTTTCTTGGGATTTCTGTAGAATCTGCTAAGTCCATTGAGGTTGATCTTAGAACACTGAATTCTAATGTTTAATTCTTTGCATGTATTCTAACCCAACTCAGCGCCCTAAACGCCCTTGAGATTTCATTTGTGAGATTAATAAATCAGTGGTTTGGCTGATGTATTTTCAGGATAGTTCAAACGGTGAAAAGAGAGAATGGGAAGAAATCCAATAAAGTTAGGTGTACAATCACTGTCTAAAAAGGGCACCCCACAAACATTCAAACGTATAAGAACCTCATCTGGATGAGATGCACATCATCTTCGGTGAGCTTTTTTTGCCCCCAAATCACTTGGATTTACTTGATTAGTTCGACAAAATTATCAGATAATGTACTTGATATTGATAAAAGTGTGGGGCTGAGAAAAAAGTTGAGAGGGATGGAGGCTTTAAATTGTATTTTTTGAAGTTTCAATAATAAATATATCTTTTTTTATTTGAATAATAGTCGGAATGAAGATTAAACTATTGTGATAAATATAACAACCGAACTATGCTTGGATTGGTTCCTAATATCATTTAGAAGGTACAATTTCTTTAGCCTATAATCTAAGGAGATATAGGAAAAGAAAGACTAAGAGGTTCCATATTAATATTTATTCCATCTTATTTTATAAGAAACAGTTATACAAAAAATGATCGACTACACAATTATCCGCCTCCCACACTTGAAAAGTTATTCGAATAGGTCCTCGATTTCTCAAACATGGTTCTTGACCGTTAAAAAATCTTACCGAATGCAGGGAATTGAAGGAAAAGAGCCAATTGAGAACAATTAGGATAAGCTAGCACATCATTAGTTGCCTGCCAAATTCTTCCGAATACGTTCCTTGGGTGCTGTAATAAACAACAGAACAAAAGGTTCAGATGGTGGAGCAAAATACTTGGAAGGAGAAACTAATAGGTTATTTTGACTTTCATACCAGGCAGCCCAGTGAATCCTTCATATTGTGCATATGCTTGCCTGATGAACATCTCCAATCCAGGAACAATAGCTGCTCCAGACTCTTCAGCTTCCCTCAAGAGTCTGGTCATCTTTGGTGTGTAAACGGCATCGAAAACCAGTGAGTAGTTCTTAAGAGCATGCTGCAAAACACAAGAATCATTTGGTTCTTTTCACTTTTGATCTGGTGGGCCTATTCCAGATATGATATAGCATTTTCATTCAACAATAGCTAGTAAAATGAGGATAAACCTTTGAAATGGGAGTTTCATTAACTTTTGGCTGCATTCCAATTGGTGTTGTGTTGGCAAGAATCATGCCATCTTCTGGGTGAAAATTTTCCAAGTCAGTGAGAGACAGGGCCTGTCCACCGATACGGTCTGCAAGTTCTCTAGCTCGATCTTCATGCAAATGAAAGAAACGTGTCATGTCGATTGATACAGTTAATAACCAAAAGTCAAGAGGGGAAAAGAAATAAAAAGGGCTCCAATTAATATGCGCCATCAGATTCACAGTTTTAAAATGGTACTAGAATGAGGTTTACACGCCCTTATAAGGAATGCTTCGTTCTCATCTCCAACCAATTTGGGATCTCACAATCCCCACTACCTTGGGAGCTCAGCCTCCTCGCTGACACACCGCCCAATGCTTGGCTCTGATACGATTTATAACAACCGAGCTGACATGAATTTGCTAGGCATGCATTTGATCTTATTATAAGCTCTTCCACTAGACCACCCCTCCCCCCAAAGAAAGCATCAAATTTTTACCATATGTGCGGTCAGCAATTACAACCCTGGCTCCCTTCTCTTTTGCACCATAAGCAAGAGCTTTGCCAGCTCCACCAGCACCAATGACAACAAATAGCTTACCAGCTAAGCCTGAACCAACTTTCGAGCTATCATTACGCGAGCCTAAAATATAAGAGCTCGAGTTGGTACGAAGCATCTTGGTTGAAACAATTATGTTTATGGAAAAGAAAAAAATCATAAGGAAATGTGCATCTAGTGAAGTCACACAAACCGAGTACTCCATCTTCAATGGCCGAAATAGCACAAAAACAATCTGTGTTATAGCCACATAATTTCCCATCAGTTTGCCTTCTAACAACATAATTAACAGCTCCAATTGCCTGCAGAAGTTCAAAACTCTTTCCCCAGTCATGCACGTTACTTTAACCCAAAAGCGATGGGGAGGGAACCAGTATTCGATAATTTACCTTCGCAACTGGATCAACCTCGTCACAGTATTCGAATAACGCTTCTTTGTATGGAGTAGTAACGCTGTGATTTACAAGGAAATAAGATCAAAATAAAGTGTCAATGATATGTTCAACATATTTCATAGACTGTGCAAGATCATATACATTCAATAAAGTCTTCAAAAGATAGTTGAATTTGAAACCTGAATCCGCCAGTATCAACAGATGAATAAGTATCAAGAAACTTTGAAGGATCATCCACCAAGAAGGGCACATAAACGGCGTTGAAACCAATCAACTTGAAAAGCTCATTGAACAATGCAGGTAATTTGCTGTCGCCTACTGGGTTCCCAACAATGCCAAATACCTTAGTATCAGGCCCTATCTGTCTGAAGTTGTATAGATTTAATAGATCTTTGATAGTCGGTTGACCAGGAGCCGATACTATTCCCTCCTCCAGGGTACCAAACGTAAGATAACCGCCAAACTTTGGGCAAAGTACTCGAGAAATGAATCCCCTATCCTTCATAACCAGTCCGATAATTGGAACCTGAAGAGTTTAGTAAGAAAAATTAAGACTAACTTCAAGAAATTAAATTACTTCTTTGTTGATAACCACCTACGACACCGAATTTAATCTTCAAGATCGGAAATAAAAACTCAAAACTCGTTATAATGAAGTTTAACTTAGTTGAATTCGTACAATATTATTCAACCAGTCATCCATGCATATTCAAGTGGACAGTTGAATTGCGCTACTTACTTGTGAATACACAAGTACTTGAAAGACGCGAGCAACATCAGTGATATCCAGTGCTGTCGTTGCAATCTTTACAATGTCAGCTCCGCTTGCTTGGATTTCAGCTACAAGACTCCCTAAATCCTCTAAAGATGGGGTCTTCTTATAATTGTGGGAAGAAACAATGACTTTAAAATTGTTTGGCTTCTCTTGACGTATAGAATCAATGAACTCCTGAGCCACCTTCAGAAAGAGATGGTGGAATAATAACAAAAAATTGGTGAATCAAATCCTGCTCAAAGTTGATGTGATTCAGTGTATAGTAATTTGTGATTGTTTTTCTTTAATGCATACACAATGAAACTACCTGAAGCTCCACATCGATATAGTCTGCTCCCAACTTCATGGCTAATCGAAGAACGTCCCGTCGTTGGCTTTCGTCCCCATCATACTGGCCACCTTCCCATTTTGGTCTGGGAGATTAATATAATATGTAGTAAGGTCATGTTGTATAAAATCACACAGTAACATAGTTCAAAATGTAATTTGTGCAAAAGCTAGCTTCATGAAACTATTTGCATTGATTAAGGTTAAAATATCATTTAAGTTCATGTACTTTTAAATGTCCAAATTTAGTTCGTGTACTTTCAATAAATTTTAAAATACGTCCTTATGGTTAAATGAAAACAATAACTTCCATTCAAGAAAATGAGAGTATTGACCATCATGAAATCACAATGAAAATGGACACTTTTTCAGATTTCACTCACATCCATAAGAAGTTGATCTGTCATATCTCACGTCAGTTTGGGAGCAGAACGAAGCATTCATTAGAAAGGTGCGGTAACTTCTCCCTAGAAGACACACTTTAAAAATCTTGAGGGGAAGCCCGAAAGAGAAAGTCCAAAGAAGACAATATCTGCTAGCGGTGGGCTTAGGCCATTACAAATCGTATCAAAGCCAGATACCGGGCGATGTGCCAGCGAGGAGGCTAAGTCCCGAAAGGGAGTGGACATGAGGCGATGTGCCAGCAAGGATGTTGGGCCCTAAAGAGAGGTGAATTGGGGGGTCCCACATCGATGGAAGAAGGGAACGAGTGCCAGCGAGGATGATGGGCCCCGAAGAGAGGTGGATTGTGAGATCCCACATCAGTTGGGAAGGAGAACGAAGCATTCTTGTGGAAACCTCTCCCTAGTAGATATGTTTTAAAAACCTTTAGGGAAAGCCCATGGAAAAACAAAAAAGGACTATATCTGCTAGCAGTGGGGTTGAACCCATCCAACTTAGTAGCAATCATAATACACCCAATGAATGACCATGTAATATAATGCTGTGGTGGAAAATACAAGCAAGATACCTGTAAGTGAATAAGGTGGGCACAGGGGACTCCTTAATTAAAGTTTTAAGATCTTCATGGGGATTGAAAATCTTCAATGCATCCAATCTTATCTCCACAATGTCAGCACCATTCTCTCCTGCCTTCATAACGTCGATAATCATCTTATCTATTGATTCCGCCATTATTGGCACACAAACAAGAGTTGAATTCCTTGTAATCCCTTCGACTCTGATGCCTAAGCCAGAAGATGCCGGCTGAAAAGGAGAAAAACAATGTTCAAGTTGAGTGTTCATATAATTCATACAAATACTTGAATCAACTGCAATCAGACTGGCATTCTAATTCTTCTTGCAATTCAAGCAATCAAAACTCTTTTCAGAGTCGATCAAGAACCAATACAGCGAATCAAGTAAATTTCAAGCCGCCTGCATTTAGGATCATCTATATAATCCCAACAATATGGGAAAGGCCTACAGTTTCATTTCATCGAAATTCCATTTTCACAGCATTCAAGCCTATGAATAAAACTAAAACTCATCAAAAGAGCAGGAAATAGAACATGGGTATGAGAGATACAGTTCAGAATTTACCCCAAACCCCATTTTTCTTCGGCGTACGTCGGAAATTTGGCAATTGGACGGCGTCGATAATGCGATTGAGAGCCCGACAGAGAGAAATTATAAGAAGGGCATCGAGGAGGATGGTGGAAAGGAGGTAGGTAAGCCGTCGGGGGGGGGGGGGGGGGGGGG